AAAAGTGGCTGTCTCTAGCAGGGAGAAGTTGCAGTTTGCAGGAGAGGGAGGAAAACATTTCACTACATACAATTGTGTGTTCATTTTGAATTTCCTGCCTGTGCATATTATCTACTTAAATCTCAGTTTTGAAACCTGGTGCATGAAATAATCCACTGCTTTCTAGAATTAAATAATTGGGTGGCCCTACCTGGTTTGTCTCAGTAGCTAGAGGGTCCTCCTGCAGACTGAAGGGTCCCGGGTTCGATTCCGGTCTAGGGCACATGCCCAGGTTGCAGGCTCGATCCCCAGTAGGGGGCATGCAGGAGGCAGCCTATTAATGATTCTCTCTCAGCATTGATGTTTCTATCTCTCTCTCCCTCTCCCTTCCTCTCTAAAATCAATAAAAAAATATATAGTTTTTACAAGGTTGGAAACAAAACTGGTCTGGTACCATGAGACAGGTCAAACCGGTAGTCAATGAGCACGGTGGATGTTTCTCAGATGTCACAGTAACAGGATGTCCATTTCGCAGGGGCCAGAGTGACATGGAATGGTTTCTGTGACAGTTTATATCATTACTGTACCACGTCCCACAGGTACTAGTCTATATACTTGCTGACACGTACATATTTCAGAATTTCATAACAAAGTATGGTGAGCCGTGTGTGCTGTCTGCATCTCAACTCCACACTCTTGCCTCTGTTGCGTGCCCAGGGAAGCCTGCCTTTCAGTGTCTCTGCATAGTTAGACCTGGGGACCCTCCAGTGATGGCCCTCCTGTCCTCTCTCCTCCCCTGCCTCAGTGTCTGCACAGTCAGACCTGGGGGACCCTCCAGCTCCTCCCGTCCTCAGTCCTCCCTGCCTCAGTGTCTGCACACAGTCAGACCTGGGGGACCCTCCAGCTCCTCCCGTCCTCAGTCCTCCCTGCCTCAGTGTCTGCACACAGTCAGACCTGGGGGACCCTCCAGTGATGGCCCTCCCGTCCTCACTCCTCCCTGCCTCAGTGTCTGCACACAGTCAGACCTGGGGGACCCTCCAGTCATGGCCCTCCCGTCCTCTCTCCTCCCTGCCTCAGTGTCTGCACAGTCAGACTGGGGGACCCTCCAGTGATGGCCCTCCCGTCCTCACTCCTCCCTGCCTCAGTGTCTGCACAGTCAGACCTGGGGACCCTCCAGTCATGGCCCTCCCGTCCTCTCTCCTCCCTGCCTCAGTGTCTGCACAGTCAGACCTGGGGACCCTCCAGTGACGGCCCTCCCGTCCTCAGTCCTCCCTGCCTCAGTGTCTGCACAGTCAGACCTGGGGGACCCTCCAGTCATGGCCCTCCCGTCCTCTCTCCTCCCTGCCTCAGTGTCTGCACAGTCAGACCTGGGGACCCTCCAGTGACGGCCCTCCCGTCCTCAGTCCTCCCTGCCTCAGTGTCTGCACAGTCAGACCTGGGGACCCTCCAGTCATGGCCCTCCCGTCCTCACTCCTCCCCTACCGCGACCTGCATTCTGTTGGCTCCTTCCCTGAGTAAGGTTTCCTGACTCCCTCCCAGGAATCCTCAGAAATTTACCCAGAATTCTGTGGAAATGTAGTGAACTGAGCACATGCCCCATGACACCCTACCCTACAAAGAGCTAAAGCAAATAAATGATAAGCAGAACATATCAACCGTTCTGGGAGCTCCAGGGCCAGCACCCCCCATTCTCATCTGTGACGTCTTAGGTCAGTATGAAATGATCCCTCTGTTTTCCCATCTGGAAGGTGTGAACAACAATACCTACCTTGGCACCCCAAGTGATAGAATACATTTGAATGGGTGGAGCAAGAAGAACACATCATATGCACTTAATTGATTGTAATACATTTGACCACTAAGGGCCTTAGGAGGCAAGAGCAGCAGAAAATGGAATTCAGAGAAGTCTGTGCAGATGGATGGGAAATAGACCTGTCTTTATTTTCAGCTACTTGTTTCCTAAATTGTGCATGTCCAATTATGAAGCTAGGCAAGAGATCACAGTAATATTAGTATTACATTGGTCCAGATTAGTATTACATTACATTGGCCATGTCACCAATAAAGATTTTCACCTCACATTACATTGTTCTACATTCCTCAAAGTATTGTTTATGCCAATGATGGCGCACCTTTTGAGCTCGGCTTGTCAGCAGTTTGAAAAACCCTAACGTAACTCTGGTGCCGTGTCACATATAGAAATTTTTTGATATTTGCAACCATAGTAAAACAAAGACTTATATTTTTGATATTTATTTTATATATTTAAATGCCATTTAACAAAGAAAAATCAACCAAAAAAATGAGTTCACGTGTCACCTCTGACACGCGTGTCATAGGTTCACCATCACTGGTTTATGCTCACTACTTTGAAACTGTGGTAGTTATTATGTCAATCACTAGATACTGTTATTTAATATGTTAATATGTAAGTACATATGCTATGAAATAACAATATTTCAAAAATGAAGCCTTATTTCAGTATAATAAATGTTATAATCCTGTGCATTTAATTTTATGCATTTATTAAAAATAATATTATTAAAAATTATAAAAAAATAATATTATTATCTTAAGGGAGCCACAGGCTACCACTAGCTGCCAAAGGGACCCAAGGTGCCAAAAGTTTGAGAATGACTGTTTTTAAAATACATTTTATTAATTTTTACAGAGTGGAAGGGAGAGGGATAGTTAGAAACATGGATGAGAGAAAAACATCCATCAGCTGCCTTATGCACGCCCCCTACTGGCGATGGAGCCGGCAACTAAGGTACATGCCCTTGACTAGAACTGAACCCAGGACCCTTCAATCGGCAGGCCGACACTCTATGCACTGAGCCAAACTTTTGAGGGCAAGAATGACTGCTTTTAAATGGGAATACATGGGGGAAGGAAGGGATTGGGCTGCCATGCTGGGCGTTTTCACATATGTTATAGACAGGAACACTATGGAGATTTCTGTGGTTGAGGCACTAGACACATGAAGAGCAAAAAATGAGGCTGAGCCCTAGATGATTATGATGATTATTATTTTACCAAAAGTCCTTTGAAAACTCCAGAGGAAGAAAAACTAATGTCCCAAAAGGCACTGCAGTTGGATGATATCATCCCATCTTTGGAGTCTCCTGTGCTGAGAGCTTGCCTGCATCTGGAGAAACTAAAAATTCTAGCCTGAAAACATTAGCCTTCCTTCTCTGATGGCAGTTAGAACCATGAGAGTGACAGTGGCCTTTCCAGTCAGCTGTGTGGCCCTTAGCTCACTTAGCGGCCAAGTAGCTGTGAACTGGAAACCTCATTGGGACTCCTTTTAAGTTGCCATGAGTTTATGGTAAGAACTGCTAACAGGTCAAACCAGCTCTTTTCTGACCGGGGGAACCTGAGTTCTAGAGATGACGCAAAGCTTGCTTAAAGTTACAAACACAGCTGCTAAGGACACAAAAGTATAAGAGAATTGCTCTCCTGTATCCCAGGTACTTGTTCCTGAAAATACATTCCTCTGAAGGAGACTAACTGTTATTACAACCTCTCAACCTATAGTCAGTCTGGGCTATAGCACAGTTATGGTGGTTCTTCTCTCCAAGATCATGTTGATCTGTGCTTAGTCTGAAAATTCATATCGATTATTGACTCTCTTTGACCTCCTAAAATCACTGACATCCATTTTAGGAAGGCACCTACAGGATACCACTCTCAAGCCTGAGAAAACTGAAACCTAATTGTGAGGTTTAGAAAAATGGTGCATCAGTATCCCGGAGAGATTCAATGTGATATTAAATATCTTCACTGATAAGCATGAATACTCTTGGGATTGGACATGGAGGGCAACAAGTCCTGGAAGTAGCAATTTCACTGCGGTTGTGCCCTTGGATGCTGGATCTGTTAAAGGGAATGAAAAATCTCCAGGGCTACCAACTCCCGGAGGATACAAATTGCTTTACTCTGCATTTCTCACAGCACAACCTAGCACGGTAGTACAGTTGAGATCCTTGTACAGATGTGGACTGCACGCTCATCTACACGAACTGCTTGGGAGGGATAATCCAGTGAACTGAGCAGTAACTTTGAGAGCTTCAGCAGAGAGGTGTTCTCTTGTCTTATACTTTTAAGTGTCACAGATCATGCTATAGGCTGATTTTAAGTTGGGGATTGAGAAAGAGAGGTGTAGAAGATAAAGCTGGCCACAAAGCTCCTTTAGTTTGTCTATACTGCTTTAGTGTTCCTAACAGGTTGGGATGATTGTCATTTTTGTGTAACTAAGGCTCAGAGGGGTTAGGAGCTTTATCTGAGCTCACACATCTAGCAAGTGCCTGGAGCTCTTAGAGCCCTTGCTTACTCTCCCTCTCCCCACACTCCCGAATAACATTCCTCTCTCAACTCCCAGATATCGGACTCTGATGGGTCCCTGAGGGATTCCTGCCAGGGAGTTGCCATCCCTGAAACCCCTGTCCCCAACGAATTTTTCGTTCGGAGCGCGCGAGCCAGGAGCCAGGTGAGGCTGGAAGCTCCATGTCAGTTTCTCTAGAATCCGTCACTGTGGTAACTCCCAATAGAATCTGTTTCAGGAAGAGGTTAGTCTGCGCGGGACAGCGTTGCCATTCATCACTGCGGGAGGGCAGAATCGGGGGCTGGGGGCCGCCCGACGAGAGGGGAGGGGCCAGGGGGCGGCCCCCTTGTGACCAGCCCTGAGGAGAGGTCAGGAGAGGAGGCTGGCTGAGGAGCGCCTGGACAGCAGCAGCTGCTGACGTTCTGAATCACGCGCCCTGGGGCCCAAGGTAACCCAGACCTTTAAACAAACAGCGGGGCTGGGGGCGCTGCGGGGCGGGGGCGGGAAGGGGCAGGGACTTTGAGGGCTGAGTACAGGAGATGGGGGTGGCCACAAACGCGTGGAGGGCGTGAGAAGGATTCCGGATTCTCAGAGGAATCCCTGGGAACTGAAGGTGCTGAAGCAAGAAGCGAGGTGTGAGAGCGCGAAGGAGCGTGGAGAGGGCGCAAGAGCGTGGCTGACCCTAAGACTGCGCCTGGAGGTGGGGGAGAAGGTGGAGCACAAGACAGCCCCAGAAGCGTAGGTAAGGGGGGATCAGGGGGCCATTTTCTTCCCGAGCCCATTTTCCATAGGTGGCCCCCTTTCAGCCATTTTCAAGGTAAAATGTAGACACAAGTGTGTTTTAGGATCTAGGGAATGAACGTCAGAGGAAGCTGTACCCCAGTGAGGCTGCTCAAAGCGCAGTCCAGGCAGTCAGAGGGTGGCGCCTTTTTTTAAAGATTCCATCTCTTTCCACCCTAAAGCTCAGGCCGTACCCCCCCCCAACTCAACCTTTCCCACCCTCCTTCTGCCTTCCCCCCACCCCCACCGCCACCCCCACCATCCCTCCTCAGCCCGGGCACCGTCCGATCGCCTTTGAAGCAGGTAACCGCCCCGGTGGCTCTGCACACTAGCTTGGGAACCTCTGAATAGAGGGGGTGGAGTCTGCAGCGGCCGCGGCTCCGCTCCGGGCCGGTGGGAGGGTCCCGGGGGCACTCATGGCCCGCCGCGGCCCGGGGCTGGCCCGATCGTTCTCAGCGATCGTCTCTGTCCTTCTCCAGCCGCAGCCCGATTCCGGACGCCTTTCTCCCCAGCCCGGCGCCGAGCTGATGGCCCAAGTTCGAGAAGCTTCCTTGCCCTCCGCCTCTGTGGTCCGCTGGAGCTCCGGAGGTAGGGGAGGAGCCTCACCCGTGGAGGCGGCTGTGAAGGCTGGGGAGATGGAGGAGGAGGCGGCGGCGGCGAGGGCGATGAAGGCGTGCGCAGGCCGGGAAGCTGCGGAGGTGAAGCTGCAGCCATTACAAGAGCGCCAGCCCGCGCCTGAGAACTTGCCTTGGCGGAGCAGCAGCCGCGGCGAGGAGAAGGTGCTCCCTTCAACCCCCCCGCGCTGGCTCAGCAGCTCCTCGCCCCTTTGCCCGCGCCGCAAGCCCCGCCCTCGGCCCCAGCCCTGGGCGCGCGCCCGAGGCCCGCCCGCGCTCTCGATCCCACCCCCGCCCCCGGTGCATCCTACCCCGCAGCCTCCCCGACCCCGGCCCTGGCGCAGACCCAGCCGCAGATCCCGCCCGGCGGCGTCCAGGCCCCAGGTGCGGCAGAGCTGTCTCGGTGACTTAGGCAGCTCTGGGGAACGAGGTGGCTTTGGGGACTGGCTGCTGGAGGTGGAGTTTGATCAGGGTCCCACAGGCTGCTCTCACGTGGAGAGCTTTAAAGTGGCAAAGAACTGGCAGAAGAACCTCCGGTTGATCTACCAACGTTTCGTGTGGAGTGGGACCCCAGAGACGAGGAAGCGTAAGGCAAAGTCGTGCATCTGTCACGTATGTAGCACCCATATGAACAGACTCCACTCCTGTCTCTCTTGTGTCTTTTTCGGGTGCTTTACTGAAAAACACATTCATAAACATGCAGAAACAAAAGAGCACAACTTAGCCGTAGACCTCTATCATGGGGTTATATACTGCTTTATGTGTAAGGATTATGTATATGACAAAGACATAGAACAGATTGCCAAAGAGACAAAAGAGAAACTTTTGAAGTTAATAACTTCCACCTCAGCAGATGTTTCTCAGCAGCAGTGTATGGAGTCAGGTGTTGAAGAGAAGCGATCAAGCTGTGAGTCAAAGGAACAGGAGCCAAAATTGGTGAAACCCAAGAAAAAGAGGAGAAAAAAGTCAGTCTATACTGTAGGCCTGAGAGGGCTAATCAATCTTGGGAACACCTGCTTTATGAATTGCATTGTCCAGGCACTTACCCATATTCCTCTACTGAAAGATTTCTTCCTCTCTGACAAGCACAAATGTATTATGACGAGCCCCAGCTTATGTCTGGTTTGTGAGATGTCTTCGCTTTTTCACGCAATGTACTCTGGGAGCCGGACTCCTCACATTCCCTATAAGTTACTGCACCTGATATGGATTCATGCAGAACACTTAGCAGGGTACAGGCAGCAGGATGCCCATGAGTTCCTTATTGCGATATTAGATGTGCTGCATAGACACAGCAAAGATGATAGTGTTGGGCAAGAAGCCAATAACTTCAACTGCTGTAACTGCATTATAGACCAAATTTTTACAGGTGGCCTGCAGTCAGATGTCACATGTCAAACTTGCCATAGCGTCTCTACCACAATAGACCCGTGCTGGGACATCAGTTTGGACTTGCCTAGCTCTTGTGCTACATTCAATTCACAGAGTACAGAGAGGGCTGACGGCGCAGTGAGTAGGAATGACCACATACCAGGCATCCCCTCACTCACAGACTGCCTACAGTGGTTTACAAGGCCAGAGCACTTAGGAAGCGGTTCCAAAATCAAATGTAGTAGTTGCCAAAGCTACCAGGAATCTACCAAACAGCTCACAATGAAGAAATTACCCATTGTGGCCTGTTTTCATCTAAAGCGGTTTGAACATTTAGGCAAACAGAGACGAAAGATTAATACTTTTATCTCCTTTCCCTTGGAGCTGGACATGACTCCATTTTTGGCCTCCACTAAAGAGAGCAGAATGAAAGATGGCCAACCACCAACAGACTGTGCACCCAACGAGAATAAGTATTCCTTGTTTGCAGTGATTAATCACCATGGAACTTTGGAAAGTGGACACTACACCAGCTTCATCCGGCAACAAAAGGACCAGTGGTTCAGCTGTGATGATGCTGTCATCACCAAGGCTACCATTGAGGACTTACTCTACAGTGAAGGGTATTTACTGTTCTATCACAAACAGGGTCTAGAGAAAGACTAGTCTATCAGGCCACTTACCAGAACAAAGTTAAAGAAATAGGCAAGGATCCTACCTGAAATGGATGATGACAATACCTATACAACAATGAGCACCTCTTGAAATATCACAAAAACCTCCTGGAAGGAACAATGACAACAGCACCTATATGACAATTAGCACCTTGATGTAAAGAACATATTTTACCACGGCCTGTGGGAAAAATGAATACTAGCTGGTGACCATTCAGCCTTAAATGGGAGGAGGGAGGAGTGGTGGAAAATGGTCACATAAAGCATAGTTAAATGAAAAGAATGTTTTAGATGGGGAGAGTGGGAATAGAAATGTTCTAGAACTACTATATGTCATTTATTTCTGTAAAATATACTGTGGGAAATCAGGGAGTATTCATCAGCAAAAAGCTTCACCATTGGTATTCCAGCTGTGGCTGACCAAATAGTTTGGGGGGAAAGGATATTTTAAAAGAGAGTCTGAAAAGCTTTAAAAGAAAAACATTTAAAAAAACTTTTTTTATTTTAAAAGAAAAATGTTTTTAAATGTTGGAAGTTCTTAAGTTAGATGTTTTTAAATGTTTTAAAAATTAAAGTTTTTTATTTAAAACATCAAAACTATTAAAATAAGGCTTAAAACATTTTCAAAGTTCTTAGTATAAAACAGGTAAAATGAATAAAACAAAGAAAAATATTAAAAATGGAAGTTTACCAAAAAAGTTAGTGAAAGAATCAGCTTTAAAATTAAAAAGTTAAAAAAGAACAAGACTTAATTTTTTAAAGAAATAATATTTTAAAATAAATTTTTAAAAATTGGGGCATAAAATATGTGTGTTAGAATCAAAGGCTAGCAAAATTCATGAAAATGCATTAAGAAATAAATTTTCAAAAAGTATAGATTGAAATTTAAGTTTAGAGAAAAGTGCAAAAGCACCTCAGTGATAGTACTTATTCTACTGTTCAGAATTAGTCACGACAAAGATACAAAATTTTTAAATTGAAAAAATCTAAAAAGGAAAATTAGAGAATAGAAAATTTAAAAGTATACAAAGAACTTTAGACAAGTTGAATTTGAAGGATTTAAATAAAAACTATTTAATCAAAGGTAAAATTTTAAAACCTTTAAAAGTAGCATTTAAAGAAAAATTGAAAATGAAAAAATTAAATATATTTAAATTGAAAAATCCTAAAATTAAAAGCTTAAAAGGTTGTGTTTTTTTACAAAAATTTAAGCAGATTAAAATACATACGGGTATGAAAGAAGTGGAGGAGACAGAAATAATTTGACAAAAAGGTTTGTAAATATATATTTTTTTGAGTTTTATGTTACACAAATAGAATTTTGTAAAAAAAATAGAGACTTTAATAATCATCATTTTACAATTCAGTTGTGAGATCACTGCAAGCCTCAACCCTAGCCCACCCTCTCTTTTCAGGTTCCACGTGACATCTGATTTCCTGAAGGAACTAGAGCTATTTCTTAGGCAGAATCAACAGCATCTGAAAAGATGAATATAGTAGGGACTCTCTCCCGTTTAGAGCTGCATCCATACAAATGATTCCCTTCTGAACGGGGCTTTTGACAATTTAGTGGCTTATGGGTATTAGATCACAACTGTGAAGCTCTAGCCTTGACGTTTGAGCCTGATGGCCATTGAGGGGTGACAGGGACCCATACCTTAGAACCTCCCACCTTCCTCTCTCCTTCCCTCTCCATGGAGAAACAAGACCTTTAAATTTCCACAGTAGAGCTAGGGTTTGTGCTTAACAGTTCTACTCATTCCTTACTCTCTTTTCCCTTCTTCCATCATTCATGCCTGGTTTCCTGAACCCCTCACTTACTTGACCTTACCTACTACATCCCCGTGTCCCAGCCTGTAAGGGCTCCTTCCTTCACTGGTCACCTGGTGGCTTCTACTCCTTTGAGACTCATCAGTGACGTTTCTGGAGCCTCCCCTGAATGCTATAGGCAGGTATAAGTTGGAAAATTGTTTCTCCCTTACCTGTGTATCCCTTTCACAGTGCCTCCAAAGTACTTTGTCTGTACCTCAGTGATAGTACTTATTCTACTGTGATTCTACCGCAGCTTTGTGATTGTCTGCCCCTCTGCATCAAGCATTCTGAGAACAGGGGCCAAGCCTTATTCGTTTCTGTGTTAATAAATGGTTGTTGACTATGAAGATGAGTTCAGTTATTTGTTCTATTCGCCCTCTCAGTAATGCTTTCACCCATTCACGCGTCAAGCCCTCATTAAGTGCTCAATGCTATGAAAGTGTGATCGGTGTTGTATCTTACTCAAAGACAGTGTATCAAATGCTACTCAGCTTCAGGGGATGACTTAAGAAAGAAGATGCTCAGCAGGGAAATAGCCAGGCTGTGTGGAGGGAGTCTCGGGTACAATTCAAGGAAAAGAGCACAGATCTAAGAATTGGTGGTTATGAGATATTGGGAGGCAAGGGGGAGCAGCAACTAAAACACAGGGCTGGGCTCTCTGGGGTGTGTGTGTGTGTGTGTGTGTGTGAACAGTGTCTCTTACAACAGTGTATCACACCTCTCCATGGTGTATCACATCAGTTTACCTTCCCAGAAGACAGTGTACATCACCATTTCACAGTGTTTTATAGTACATGTTTTATAGTATCATGACTATGCAACAGAGGAGTGATGAGTGGTGGCTGTGTTTAGTGGAGAGCTATAGTTTGTCTACTTAGCACTCTAGCCCTTTCCCTGTTCTTTGTGGTTCCAGCTGGGCCATCAGTCACTTTGCCTTGCTCCTCACACGCCTCCCCAGAGTTGGGCATATCACTCACGCTAGGCCAGATTAGAGTTCTCAATTCCCCCACTCCACCACCCACACACCTCCAACAAGAGTGATTCTTCTGAGGATGGCCATAGGACCCAAAAGGATCCTGTGCAATCAGAGTCCATTGCTAAATTGAATATATCTAGACACTGGGAGAAAGAAGTGCCTTGCTCCCTACCTTTGCTCCCCACTCCACAACCCATGCTAGAGTCTCTAGGCTAGGATGGCATGAATCTGGGACTTTGATAGGGCGATACCATACTCTGAGGAGAAAAATAGAATCCGAAGGGGAGAAAGTCCAGAGAGCATCATTTGAACCTTGTGGGTCTAGCTGTGCTCGAAGCCCCAAAGTTCCCAGTTATCTGAGTTAATAAAGTCCTTTGTTTCACTTAAGATAGTTTGATGGGATCCTGTCACTTGCAGCCAAGGATTTTGAACATACTAGCTAAGCTATATGGTTAGTTGGGGGCATCCTGTTCCTAAGGCCACAAAGGCAGAGAAAGTAAGGAAGATGGACCTCTTATATGACTCCATCATATAAGATTGAGAAGACAGAGCAGGTCCCTACATGCCTTTAAGAAGCAGGTCTTAGTTCAGTCACTGACCTGTGCTATGTTTCAAACTTTACAGCAATGATGTAGTTGTTCCCAATTAAAGAGAGAGAAAAAGGCAATAATATTTCATGAGTACCAAGCTAGGCCAGGCACTATGGTAACTGCTTCACCTCTGTTTACCTCACTGAGTCCATACTACAATCCTGGGAGACAATCATTAGTGAACATACTTCACAGATTGAGAAAGGGAAATTCAGAATGAAAAAGTGATTTGCTTAAGTTCACTGTAGTATTTTAAGTAGTGGAGCCAGTATTCAAACCCAGGTCCCCAAAGCCCATGCACATTCCGTTACAATCTAGTACAGATAATACAGAAAAAATTTTTTTTTGCCTTTCCTAATGTTGCTATGGAAGAGAACCTATGCTAGGATGGTGCAGAAGGCAGACAGCCTTTGACAAATCTGGATGCAGATAGCATGGAATGAGTGATCTATCAAATGATAACACAAAATTGCCCACGCTACAGATGCATGTGCCTCTATACCAATGGCTGATTCAGATAGTCAGATCAGGCTAAATGACTTTCCTAAGGATACTCAGAATGGGTGAGGCCAAATCCTCTTTCATTACTAGGCATAGTCTCACTCAGAGCACCGAGACCTGGCTGTAAGACCTCACCTTTTCACTGTCTGTGAAACCGTCAGCTCTTGTTACACCAGATTTCCTTTCTAGCTTCAGTACTATGGTCAGAACTTTGTGTGTCACTTTCACCACTCACCTTGTCCTCCAAGAGTGCCCACAATATCAGCCCCTCAACCACAGATCCCTCCCACCTTCCTGTTGGTGAGGAGCTTGCCCTTTAGGATCTGGTTCCTACGTGGGTCAATATTGATTCCCAATGCCCACCTTCTGTTATTTCTGAACTACTTTCCGTTCCTTTATCTTGATTCCCTTGCAAACACATAGTAGTAGTGGCTCTGGGCTAGAGCTGGAACTATGTGTCTGTCAGTCTCTCAGGCTTACCCCAGTATATGGTAGGTGCATAACATGCTGGCTGAATGAATGCATGAATGAATAAGTAAAAATAAATTCCATCCTACACTCAGCTTCAGTAGATGACTTCATGTCCTTTTTTCCTGAAGTCAAAAAACTCATAAGAATTCCTGATTTACCCCCACCAGCCATGTTAATGCACTTCTGTCTCCATCCATCGTCCACACCTCCACTGTGGTTTCAGAGGAAAAAGAATCCTGCCTTCTTCCTGATGCTGCACCACTAGCCTCCTTCCTCTGACCCATTCCTGAAAGTCAAGGGGCTTTGCTCCTAAATGCTCCCCTCTATTCCAGCAACAGCCATGTTTTCTCTAGACAGTTAATATCCAGCAACTACACATCCTAGACTTTATGTGATGGTTCTTCAAAAACTTTACCCCATCATCTCATATACCCAAGGCATAAGAAATGTCCCTCAGATATTCTGTTTTATATATATATATATATTGGTTTCAGAGAGAGGGAGGGAGAGGGGCAGAAAGAAACATCAATTATGAGAGAGAATAATTGATCTGCTGCCTCCTGCACACCCCAGACATGTGCCCTGACCCGGAATCGAACCGTGACCTCCTGGTTAATGGATTGATGCTCAACCACTGAGCCA